GGGAACAATGTTAACACCAAAAATAATTAGCAAATGTAATATGAAATATAAACCAATGGAAAAAATAAGAATCCATGTCTGTATTGATAAGATGATTGACAGACAGAGAGACAGATGCACAGACAGACAGGCAGATCACTGGACAGACAGAAGGAAGGGAGGGCTCTTGCTCACAGCATGGCCACCACTGACTGGCAAAGGTGGAGCGTGTGCCAGAGTCGGAGACTGCCAGTCTGTGATCATCACACTAAAGATGGATACAAGAAGAAATCAACAACGGCAGTAAATCAAGGAGGGCGACTTTGATGAAAAGCAGGATATTTGCATGATCTTAAACCATCTCCCGGCTGATTGCTTATTAACTGCACGGGGGAAAAACACAGCGACTCTGCAGTGAGACATTCAACAGCACCCTTCCCTAGGGGATCAGCCCGCACATCGCCAGCCAGGGAGGCTGGGCACAGCATGTGCTGTGATGCCACGAGAGAACCACGTGTCACCTGCACTAGCGGCCGAGTGAGGACCTGCAGCTAGCTCACCGGGAGGAAACTCACCAGCCCCAAAGGGAGGCCCCTCTATTGTAAAAGGGGGCAGGCTGGATTCTTCAAAAACCTCAATGTCACAAAAGACAAAGAAAACTAAGGAATTATTCCGGATTAAAGGAAACTAAGGAGATGTGACAATGAAATGCAGCATGTGGGCCTAGACTACATCTGTGCTGAGGCCAAAAAAATAAAAATTAAAAAAAAGCCATAAAGAATGTCACTGAGTTAATTGACAAAATTTGGAATATGTTAAATTGTTGTGACAATGTTAAATTTCCTAATGCCAATAACTGTACTGTGGTTATGTAAATGAACGCCCGTAATCTAAGGGGATACACGCTGAATATTTAGCGATAAAGGCCACAGTGTCTGTAACTCAATCTCAGATGGAAGGTGGAGAGGGAGAAGGGGAAGGAGAGAGGGAGAAAGAGGAACAATAGCGCAAATGGGGCAAAATGTTAACAACAGGTCAATCTGGGTAATGGGTAGACAGGTGTTCTCTTATGTAATTTTGAAATTATTTCAAAATAAAATTAAAAAAAAAAACAAACGTAGACAGGAAGAAATACAATGGAAGACAGATAAACAGGGGCAGGGGATAGAACCTAAGTGGTGGCACTGGCTTTCCATATAACTCCTCCCCGTGGTCTCCCCGATGACCAAGGGTGTTATATATCAGGTCTTCCCAGCAATTACTCTAATTACTACTAGAACGGCCACTGCCCTGCTGAGAGGGGTCAGATACTCTGGGGACAAAATGAAAAACCAGCAAGACAGGACTCTCTTCATACTCATTGTCAGGTTTGCCCCAGGGAGCGGTACTAATCTCCACACCCTGAAAGGCACCCCAAACCGATCACCTGCTATCGACATGAATGGGCCCTTCTTTGCCAAGGGAGAAGGCATCACAAAGACTTCTAGTCCTTTGGCATGGCGCCTGTACCCTCTGCTAGATAGAACCACGAGCCAACAACACCATGGCTAATTGTTCTCCAGTGAAGAGGTACTGCGCAATTAGAAATAAAAATAAAGCCGAGAAACAGCCTGGAATGGGACGAAGGGCAATTCTGGAGGACACGTCTACCTAGGGAAGGTCTGTGCAGCAATCACGTCGCCCTGGGGCTCCTCCCAGCTGCAGGGGAAGTCCTCAGTGGAAGGGTCCAGTGTGGCGTCCATTCCCCGCCCCGTGCCCTTCCCCACAAGGCGGCCCCAACTTACGGCAGAAGTCATAGGTCCGCCAGGGCCCCACCTCCACGTCTGCATTCTTGCAGGCACTGGCGTACCGGGCCACGGCGTCACAGAGCTCCGACTCGTTGCCGCCACTCTGGCACAGGCGGAAAAGGCAGGTGCGGTAGTAGGCGGTGACGTTGACCACCCCGTGGCACTCCAGGAAGGAGCTGTTGGAGGGGTCGTTGATGATGCCGCACCTGGAGCGGCTCCGATAAAACTTGAGCAGCTCCGAGTCGTTGTTGCAGGCCTTCAGCAGGTCCCCGCACTCCCCGTTGCAGATCTCCTCGAACGTCGTCCAGCTCTCCAGGAACACCGCCAGGTTGTCTGTGCACCTGCCCGTGGGCAGGCAGAACTCGTCACTGGCGTTTGCGTTGAAGAAGCCGCAGAGGCCCCCCGTGCAATTGAAGTACACGGTGGACAGCCGGATGTACAGCAGGCCCACGTCTGAGTACTGCACGGCCACCACGCCCTTGGACTCCACCGTCGTGCTGTTTCTGTTTCGGTAGATTTCCAGCCTCCCCGAAGGATGGAAAAAAGGCAAGTCCACTTCCTGGCCGTTCAACTGAAAAGTCAAATCACCCTCCTCAATTGCAGAGACACACAGAGTACCCGCCTTTTCCCGCCTTTTCCCGGGCTACGGAGCGAAGACATGGCTGTGCCCCACGACTGGCCCTGTGGGGAAGTATCAAGACGCTAATGGTCTATGGAACCACCTAGACAGACCCCAGCTGTTTTCCACGGGCTTCTCTGTTTCTTTCTGCAGGGACGCCCCTCATTATCTGACCCATTTGCTCTTTGTGTGTGTGTTCTAGACCCTAAGCTAGCCCCAAACAAACAGGATGAAATGTAAGCAGAAATCATCTTAGATACATGGCTTCCTCCTGCCACCTGACATCTCCGTGTGGTACCTTTGGCAAACGGATCCCCTTCTTCCCCACCCCCTTCCAGCTCCTTCCTTCCGCTTCAGTCTTACTTTTCCTGTGTCCCAGCTCCCTGGTGGCATAAGGGGTATAAGCTAATGATCTAGCTGCCCATCACCTATTTACCTCCTACTAGTTTTTGATAAATTAATCTCTGCCAGCGTGGCCATGGGAGTGAAAACAGCCCTTTCGGTTTGTGGGTGTGTATTTTACGGTCTCCTCGCACAGTGAAGTGTTGACTTCTGTTTTCTACACCAGACTTCGTGTGACCTCAGGAAATGCATGTTGGACTGGGAGACGGGGATTCCCCTCCCCCACGTCCCAGCTCTGCCACAGTTAGCTGTGGGACCCTCACTAAGCCCTACGGGATCTTCCTGTGAAAACAGGGAGTTGCACTAGATGATTCCCAAGATTCCTTCTAATGATCTCTGAGTCTGGATACTTATCGATGGGTTTTTCAGAGCATGTGTCAGACAGGGGAGTGGGAGCCACCATGGCAGGCACCCCTTACCTCACCCCACATGGACTGCCGTCTGCAGGTATGAGAGTTAGCACAGTACAAGAGTTTAAGAGCACAGATTCTGGAGCCAGCCTGCCTGGGCTTGAATCCCACTTCATGGCTGTGTGTGTCCCTGAGGAAGTTACTTAACCTCTCTGTGCCTCCGTTTTCGCATCTGTGAAATGAGGATCATTGGCTTATGCTTGATACTGCTTATGAAGGGCTTAGAATAGTGCTTGGCACGTAGCAAGTGTCCTATCAGTATTTGCTATCGCGGAGAGCTAGTCCTGCTCTAGCTAACGGGAGAGATTCCAGCTTCACTCCATTTCTCCACCTGATAGACCCTAGTCGGGCTCTGATCCCATGCGGGGGCGTTTTCTGCTTCTTAGAATCCACTCACGGGCGGAGGCAGAGAGGCCAACCTGAAGGGAAAGGCGGGCGCGGGCTCCTCCGCTTGGCGGGACTCGGCAGGAACCCCTCCAAGGGAGCAAGGAGCCTTACCTTGACTTCCGAGGCCTCGACGCCCCCTATCTTGACCTCCTGGTCGGCCACCAGGATGCGAACGCCGCGCAGCCAAGCAGGCCCCGCATCGGGCCTCTTCTTGTTGATGTCGATCTCCAGGTACTCGGGGCGCTCGGGGCAGGTCTTGAGCAGCGTGTAGGAGAACTCGGCGGGGAAGGCGTAGGCGGCGCCGTCGAAGGTGTGCAGCACCTGGTTCTGGCTGAGCAGGCACACGGTCTCGCGCCGGGGGAAGCAGCCCTGGTAGCCGTCCTCCACGGCGCACACCTCCCCGCTGCGGCACGTCTTGTTGAAGCAGTAGACGTCCCCGCCCTCCTCGCACAGGCACTGCACGGTGCAGTTGGCCGTGGCCCAGAAGAACTCCCCCATGGCGTAGTAGTGGCCGTCGAAGTCGCAGCCGCACTTGTGCAGCGGGACGCACTGGCCGGTGCTGAGCACGAAGCCCTCGTTGCACTCGCAGCCCTCCGTGCAGGGCGTGGCGCAGCTCTGCGAGGCCGTCAGGTCCGAGCACGTGTCCGGGCAGCTGCTGGTGCACACCGAGTAGTGGCTGAAGCTCGGGCACTGCACCGTGGACACTGACGCGGGCGGGGGGTGGGGGGGAGAGAGCGCGACAACAAGGTGAATGGGGCCCGAGCGCTAAGCCGCCAGAATCCGGCAAGCACAGGGGCGGGAAGGAAGAACGGGCTCCTTCTGCACCGTTTAGCTCCTACAGCGAGGGCCAAGCGGCCACTCGGTTCAGGCAAGACAGACTTGAGGTTGCACCTGCAAAATCCAGCTCAGCTACTTTCCTGACAACTTACTGAGCAACGTGATTGGACCGTGAACTTTTATTCGAATTTGCTCATCTTGGCTGAAATTAAACTTCAGGTTGCTATCCTTCCTAGACTACTGACTACTCAATATAGGTTTATTATTTGGTGATCTACAACCCTCGAGATGTTTTAAGAGCTTCAACGGATGGACATATAAATTGATCTGATTTTAAAGAACATGGCCCGTTTTTAGAAGGGAATAAATCCGACTTCCAGGAGAAGTGAAAAAATGTAACCATTAGAGGAGTAATTTGAAAACATGAAATTTCTAACAGGGAGGTACTTAAAATACCCAAGCGTGACCAAGGAAGGCTGCAAGAATGAATTCCCTGGCATATTAAAAATGAGAACGAACTCTGGCTATCTGCAAAGAATTTGTCTGCCTGTTTCTCCAGAAGACTGGATCAGAATAAGATGTCTTCTAAAGGCCCTTCTTGCCTTAGAAACCTTCAGTTATTTTAAGAACATCTGAGTCTACTAAAGGTATGAGTTCTGGTTGAATCCAACAGGCAGGGGGTCAGGGGCCTAGTAAACTAGCTCTCTGAATTAAAAGCAATTCATCCCACTAAAATGAGAGAGAGACGAAAGAGAAATGTAGAAGGTGGGAAAGTGGTATCATCGGAAAAAATATATAGCCTTCATAGGTAAAATTTTAGTTAGGAAATTTGGATTTCTTGGGTTGCATAAGGACCAAAGTGAAGCCCTGTTCAATCTCAACTTGATTCAAAATATGGATGCCCTGGCCGTCATAGAGGCTGGTCAGTCACATAGCAAGAAAAATCCACTGTAGTTTGGCCAATACTCTAAGAATTGTGTCTGATACATAATGATTTACCTGAATCCAACCTATACTGCTAGGACGAAATTTCCCTCTGGCCTTGGAATTTAAAGAAATTTTTCAATCTTCTCACCACCACAGCACTCAAATGCATGGATTACAATTTTCTATTTACTCATATGGAGAAAACCAAGGACTGGGAAGGAAACAAAATTCATTTGATTTTACATTTTACATAATTAGGAAAAGAAAGAGAGATTTAAGTGGGGTAAAGGAAGAAATAGAGACAACTAAGGGGTACAAAAATGCTTCATCCAAAAGTGTAATTCAGAAGAGCCTGAATTTCCACCAAAGTTGGGGCTTTTCCTAACCATTCTTAACATTTCAGAAAAAGGGCTTGTTTACTGGCATACTATAGTATGCAGCCCTTTCTGTGACCAGCAGCAGCAAAGCACAAACCCTAAGGAGTCTGAAAGTTGAGAAAAAAAAGCCAAGGGACAATTGCTGCAGGTTCTGTTTGGGAGGTGAACTATTTCCCAGAGACTGGCTCAGATTACCAGGCCAGCAGCTGCATTTACTCAACAGCCACAAAGACAGCCACCTCCACCTCTGTTAACCCCTGTCCTCGCTCAACTCTGGGGTTGCTGTCCCCTACTCTGGGGACTTCCTCCAGCCAAGTACTTCCTGCCATGCATTCCATGTTTCCAGACCACTAACGCTCACCAATGGGTTCTTGTTCCCTTGCTAAGATATTGGGTGGGGAGCAAAGTAAAGATCCTTCTTACAGTTCATTCTTTAGCATTTGTGATATTTCAACCTCGCCCTCACTCTTGGGCCACGAGCTTTAACAAGGACATTCGGGGGAGCCCTGGAAGCCTACCCCTGCCCCCTGCACAGGAGAGGCCTCTCCTAGGGACGGGATGCCAGCTTACCACACCCAGTCTGGATTCGCCAGTCTCCAATGGGAATGCCAAGGGCTTGGCACACGAGGGCGTAGGCCTGGATGGCTTGGCAGAGGAGCGTGCCGTTGTCCCTCACGCTGCACAGGTCGTACACGCAGCTGTGCACAAAGGCTGTGGGGTCCACGACAGTGCCGCACTCCCACAGGGGGCCGTCCGTCTTGTTGAGGAAGCCGCAGTAGTCGGGGCCAAAGTAGAGGGCCTCAGCGGTGGCGTCGCACTGCGTGCAGTTGTCCACGCAGCCGGAGTCACACTTCCAGTCCGCGTGGTAGACACGCCAGCTCTCTCCCAGGTCTAGGACGGACATGGCCGGCCTGCCGTCGGGGCGCAGGAAGTCGTCCAGTGGGTTCTTGTTGTAGTTGCCACAGAGCCCACAGGTGGAGTTTATATAGGAGCCTGGGATGGAAATGGAGGCGTAGTGCTGGCCGTCAAAAGTCACTAAGAGCCCAAAATCCGTTTCCACGGCAGTAGACATGCCACTCTGGTAGATTTTCACCGCCCCCAAGTCTAAGGTGACGGGCAAAGAAGTCACTAGGTCATTAACCTGCCAACAACAGTAATAGTAAAAGGCAGGTAAGCACGTGCCCGGCAATGGGTTCCAGCAGAAGTGAGGAAGGGAAGGCAAAGCAACTGTGTTCCAGAGAGACGGCCACCCAACATGCCCGGCCCCCAGTGGCCTTGCCTCTTACCAAGGCAAAGGCCTGGGAGAAAGCTCTGGAGAGCAAGTTGGTTGTGGGCCAGCCTGAGCACTGTGCACTTGGGCTGTGATAGCTGTGGCATTTCTAGGGCCACTTTAGACCCCTCTAGGGGTTGTCAGCCTTCCTGGCTGGCTGGCTCTGGGCCAGCTTCAAGTATTTTCTTGAAAGACTAGTCGCCTCCCTTTCCCTCTTTATTCCTCTAAATATCCATTCTTTAAGTCCCAGCTTAAGTCACATATTTTCCATGACCCCTTCGACTTCGAGGCCCTTACACCCCCCGCATCTCCTCCCAACTGGAAGGTGTGCTACGTCCACTGCTGCACACAGTTTGGCTTTGAGGCTGCCCTGTTGTGCTGTTCTCTGTGTTCACCCTGTAACGTCCTCACGTCAGGACTAAACCATGTAGTCATTCAACAACAACAACTTTGAACACCTGGTAAGTACCAAGCACTATGTCAGGAGCCTGAGAAGCAAAGAATTAACAAAAACGATTGCCCCTGCCCCTCAAGGAAATCTCAATCTACTGAAGAAGGACACACATTGATATTTACAATATATTGTTTTAAACATGAATCGGTAGATGAAACAATGAGGGAACAGTCCCCCCAGGCTGGGGGACTCACATAACACTTTTAGAGGCAGTTAAGTGTGATCGATCTGGTCTTTAAAGATAAACAGAAGTGGCCAAAGGAAGTGTGGGGATGGGGCAGAGAATTCCAGGACAAGAACATAAATGCCGGGGGGCTTAGAAACAGCCATATGGGGTTGGGGAGCAGTCAGCAGGGTATTAATGAGCTGCAGAGGAAGGGGTGGCTGGACATGAAGCCGGAGACACAGGCACGTTCTATTCATTCTACAAATATCTACAGAGGCCTTTCTGTGCGCCAGGCATTGTTGTAAGAGTTGAGGATTTAGCAACAAGTGCAGTGGACAAACATCCCTGCCCCGGGGGACTCATAGTTTAGCTGGGGAGACGAAAAATGAACAAGATAAATGAGTCAACTATTTATGTCAGCCAAGTGTTAACATAGTAAATGCTAAAAAAAAAAAAAAAGTACGAAAGAAAAGAGTTTCTAATTGTACATAGGGTGGTCAGGGAAGAGCTCCCTGGGAAGGGGACATCTGAGACGAGGCCCAAGCCACGCTGTTATCTGGGGTGAGAGTGGCTTAGAGGAGGAGGGGCCCCTGAGGGGGAGCACCCCTGGGTGCTCCTGGGACGGCGGCGTGGTGGGGAGTGTGGCTGGGGCAGAGAGCACACGAGAGGGCAGTGGTAGATGGTGCCGGGGAGGACAGAAGCCAGGACAGAGCAAGGGCTGTCAGCGTGGTAAAGACCTTGGCTTTGACTGCAAGAGAGGGAGAGCCAAGGGAGCGTTTAGAGCAAAGGACCGGCACGAGCTGACTTCCGCTTAGAAAGAATTGCTCTGGCTTCCGCCTTGCGAACAGATCTTGGAGGGGTTTTTAAGCCATGTTCAAAACAAAACAAAACAAAACTTGGATTTCTATTCTGTAGGGAGAGCCCCTGAAGGCTTTTAAGCACAGGAATGACATAGTCAGATTTTGCATTTTAGAAATTCCATTTGTCCAGCATGAAAGATTTATTGAAGTAAGTCAAGGCTAGAAGCAGAGAACCCAGACAGGACACTGCTGCAGGAGTCTGGGGGCCGATGAGGATGAGGGCCTAAAGGAGATACAGACACAAAAAGGGAAAGGCAATCTTATGGAGCACACTCTGCTGGACCCGGTGGTGTTTGCAGTGGAGAATGAGAAATGGTGGAAGAATCCAGAGTGAGTCCCAGGTATCTAGATCATATGAGTAAATGGCTGGATAAGGCTCCAACAGAGAGAGTTAATTTTCTTTTTCACAGCTACCATGCCTAACACTTATAGACACTCACATTCATGGGCTGGGATGGAATGACTAGTCTCAGAACAGTCCTTAGTGGGCTTGACTATAAAGAACACATAAGCTATCCCAGAACCATGTGCTAGTGGTTTCTGGCACATGGGACAAACAGGGGTCTTACCTGCCAACACTGGTGCTACTTTCTGAGTTGTCTAGGAAATGAGCAATGGACTGTCTGAGCACCACTCCTGGGATTTACCATGGCGGATGCCACGTGCAACTCTCTATCTGTAGAGATTAGTGGCTGGCCCTCACCAGAATCACCCTGAATGGCCCATTCATGGCAGTGCAGAACTTTTGCTTGCATGTACCTCTGCACTCTTCCAGCCTCTACCCGTTACCCAGTTCCAAAGCTGCTACCACATTCTTAGGTATTCATTACAGTAGCACCCCACTACTATTACCAATATTCTGTCTTAGTCTGTTTGGGGTGCTGTAACAAAATGCCATAAACTGGGTGGCTTATAAACAGCAGAAATTTATTTCTCACAGTTCGGGAGGCTGGGAAGTCCACGATCAAGGTGCTGGCAGATCCAGTGTCTAGTGAGGGCCAGATATCTGCTTCGTAAATAAAAAAACACATCTACTGTGATCACACGAGGTAGAAGAGGCAAATAAGCTCCCTCTGGCCTTTTTGATAAAGGCACTGATCTCATTCATGAGGCTCTTCCCTTCCCTCATGACCTAATCAACTTCCCAAGGCCCCACCTTCTAATACCATCACTTTGGGAGTTAGGATTTCAACATATGAATTCTGGGGCACACAAACATTCAGATCATAAGCAATGGGGGAAAGAGGACAAGAAAAAATAAGCTTGAGAAACAAATCGTCCTGCAAGATCCGAAAGTAGAAAGAAAAACCAAGGAGTTGATTAATTTATCCCTATCTCCTAGGTAGAGGATTAGCCAACAAGGGTGAGAAAAGCCATACTAAAGAGAAGGTCAGCTAGCGAGAGTACTGAACAATTACTATCCACTGTTCAGCAATGGGATGTAGAAAGGGAAATCTTCCCCAAGGTTGGTACAACTATAAATGACAAATACATCAATTGCTGAGTGCGTTCCTGCTCTTATTTAAGAGGAAAAGTCTTATGTCCCAAAGCAGAAGCCATGGGGTAGGCTGGCTCTGTATATTCCATGAATGTGTCCCTGTCCCACTCAAGCTGGCCTTACACCTGGGTGGCCATAGGTCCCAGTCAATACCCTTTTTTATTGCCTAAGTGTTCCTTGCACCCACTGTCACTCTCAGCACAAATTATAGTCATTGTGTTTGTGCTCCGCAGTGCTCAGAGCACGAGCTCCTAGAGAACCCTTGTCCTGACACGTGTTTTCTTGTTTCGGACCTCAACCCTTGCTTAGCCAATGGCCAATGAACCTCACCTCTTTGCTCTCCCTTCTTCTCCCTGTGTTCTAGTCATTTGTCTCATTAGCTGTGTCTCTCCCAGGATGTGGTCAGGGACAAGGGGAGGAGGGGGAAGTAGAACTGCAGAAGCATAGGTCTTAGAACTGAAGGAAAGTTCCTTGGGAATGGCAACGTGAAACCAGCATGCGCTGAGTGCTTACTGTGTGCCAAGCTTGGCACCAGACATCACATGTGTGGCTATTCCATTTAATTCTCATGGCAACCTTGGAAAGCCCTTACCATCTTCCCCTTTTACAGGTGAGGAAATTGAGGATCAGGGCTGGCGTGACATGTGGGTGACAGGGCCTGACTTCCCACTGGCCAGGCTCTAAAGCCAGGATCTCTCCACTGCTCCCTGCTGCCTCCATCCTGGCGCTGAGTAGAGGCAGCTGAGGCCGGGCTACAGCCCAGGTGCCCACCTCCCAGACAGGGCCACCCCAATTTTACAGACAAAGAAAAGGCAACTCAAAGAGGCCCCTAGCTGGCAGTGGAGGCAGAGGGATTTGAGCGGCTGACCCCAGAGTGTGAGCTCTTCAGCGCCACACGCTAGTTGGCCATGGCCCCTTTTCACTGGAGCACCCTAAACTACTCGAGTTCACCTTGGGGAGAAACATGAGAACAGGTGAAGCATTAGCTAGAAGGTGATATTTATTATACATGGATTTTTAGTTATGCTGGTTTTCCTAGCTTATATTGTCCTAAATTGTTTATTTTGCGATATGAAAAGAGTTCAATGGGGGGAAATCCATACACAGAACGTAGTTTCTAACCCCAGCGTATGGAAACAGGGTTGGAGAAAGGGGTTCTGTTGTTGGGAAGGACAGAGCTTAATGGCCATGGCTGGCCTGGCACCGAGTGGCTGAAGAAGTCAGCTCCTGCCAGGTGTCTCAGGCTCCTTCCTGCCCCCCAGCCCTCTCCCTGCCTGTCCCCATGTCACCCTGGGCCGGGGCCCTGCTGTCCACCAAGCCACTTTCCCCAGCAGAGCAGGTGTATTCAGAGATGCTTGGAAACCATCTGGCAAAAGGAAAAGGAAGCCATTGTTCGCTTGCAGTGGGAGTCACACAACCTTTTCTTTCTGAAACATTTACATTCACATCCACATCTCTCTGTTGCTGCAGAAAATTGAGGAATGCGTGCCCTACGCTTGGACGATGGAACAGAGCCACACAAAATTAGCAGAGCTGCTGGGCCTGAAAGAAATAGCGGTGTCCCTTCCCTTCTTAAAAAAAAAAAAATAACCTGACTGTGAGCAGAAAAGAATTTTAATCAAAACAGAAAGTAGGAATAAAGCACGAGGCTTTCTTTTTCAACTACTGATACCATACACATCATCCCCACAATACAGGCGATCGGGAGAAAGCTAGTGAAAAATTTTTCTAGCTTGAGATCCCAGCATCTATCTACAAGGATGAGTATAGCGTTCAACAGCACAATATAAATTTAAAAGGGAAAACCTCCAAACTTCTGCATCCGAACTCTTAGCTTTGATTTGATCTACGGAGCTGTCCCTAGAGAGAACTAACCAAATAACAAGCAAATTGGCATTGCAACCACAGTAATAGCTCACTTTCCTCATTATGAGACTGATAAACTGCACAGACTTAGGAAAGGCAGAGCCAGAAAAAGTGGAATTAGTTCCCTGGTCCTGCCTTTTATTGGACATGCTCCATCAATTAAAACTACAACATCTTTTTTTTTTTAAAAAAAAAAGAAAGAAATCCCTGCATCGGCATCAGTTCTGGTTGTAACCTCGGTAATGACCTCCATGCATGGGGATTAAGGATTGCACGGGGTTACAGCAATCAACCCCTCGTGGTCTCAGTTATTACTGCTCGAGTAAATACATGGTTGCAACAAGGCCTTCATTAACATCATGAAAATTGGGACCTCCACAAATTGAGTAATTGCTAGTGGCTTTTTGCTCTCCCTCTTTTGTCGATGTCCCTGCTTGAAATCCAGGTGGACAGTGACAGGACTCATTTGCATATGCTGAACAGGCCAGCAGAGACTCGTGCTCTTCTCTGTCATTCCAGACAGGAGTAGGGGGTTCTGTTAGAGGGGTATCTAGGCAAAGCTTTTGCAGACATTCCCACCCAGGCTTCAATAAGGAAGCCACCAAGGCCACCCTAGGGGCCCACACAGGTGGTGTCTCTGGAGACATCAATCAATTTGGAGGTTTCTCTGAAAATGAAGCAGCAGCTCTTGGGCAAAGAGAATGGGGGTTGGGGGGTAGTGAGGATTATTAATCAAAGGCTGCACTGAATTAGGGGTTTGTACTCTGCGTTTGCACCATGTCCAGGGCATGGCTGTGTGGTTAAAGCTATAGCAAGCCAGGGTCATGAGAAACTAAACTTACCTCTTTCCAGTTACTTCTGAGCTATGCATGTGTATGTGTGTGTGCGTCTACAGTGTTTATGAGGGAATTAGGAGTATAAATGTACTCTAAGTTAAAAAGCAGATAGGCATGTTGAGGAGAGAGCTTAGGGTAGCTCTTGGATCAATAACATTTAGTCCCGTAAAACATTTTATAAGCTATTTGCAAGGCAGAGAGAACCATGCATCTCTTTGGTACCGTCAAGAGACAAACAGCAGAGCCAGTAGAGCTGAGGGAATCTTCCCCAGGCTGAGGGATCTCCAGCTTCTCCACCTCCCCGTGAAGGATGAAGAGGGTCTCACCTTGACTTTCCCATAGCTTCCTTTGGGGATGAGAATCTTGTAGCCATTGACTTCCACTGAGAGCTCCTTCACCCAGGAGACGGCTGAGCCCCCGCGGTGCTCATTCTTGGCCTCCACGCTGAAGAAGGGGAGGCTGGAAGTCTGCAGACACTGTCGGGCCAGCAGGTAGGCACAGGATCCTTGGAAGTGGAAGAGGAAGCCGTCAAAGGTGTGGTAGTGTGGCTCCCCAAACACCACGCACGTGCTGGTCTCCACGGGGCTGCAGTAGAAGAATTTGCCTTTGGGTTCGCACACCTCGTAGGGGCTACAAGAGGCCTCCTGGCAGTAGATCTCATTGTTGAAATCCAGACAGCGGCATTTGATGGTGCAGTTCAGGTCATCCCAAAACACCTCCCCTCGCCGAAGGAACTGTCCTGGGGAATAATGACATCAGAGCCAACATTTATTGAGCGCTTACCCTCTGTGTCAGGCGTTGGGCTAAATGCTTTACTTCCATTATACCATTTAATCCACGCAAGAACCCCATTAGGTAGGTATTGTCACCCTCATTTCACAGGTGAGGAAACTGAGGCTTAAGAAAAGTTGAGTAATTCATCCGAGATCACTCAGACACTCAGTGGCGAAGCCAGGATTCCAAGCCGAGTCTGTCTGAATCCAGTCTAAGCTCTTGGCATTATCATCTCCACGGCTGGTGAGCAAAGCCACACTCAGGGAAAGACACATTATCTTAATCCACGGGAAAGGCTAGGACACTCGGGAGTCACGTCCTCCCTTTCAGGAATAGGAGGAAGGCTATTCGGAAAGAAGACCCAATTTACCAGGTTACTCAGCAACGCTGTTTATTTGCTAATTTGTTCATTCATGCAATAGACATTTATTTGTTGGGGGCCCAGTAGGTGCCAGAAAAGGTCAATAGTACAAAGCAGGAGTCAGACGCACAAGTATAAATCCCACACTCCCTGGGAAGATTCTAGAAAGGGCTGACCACTTGCTTGGCACCTTCAGCGGCTGGTTAATCCTGCAGATGCTGCTCGGGCAGCACTTACACCTGCACAAGTTGTCTTCTCTCCCCCTATTAGGCCCTGTCCAAGTCCAGGCCGCCTCTCTCTTTATCTACTGCACAGAACTTCTTGACAAAGTCCAGGTCAGGAGGAGAATGAGGTGGGGGGAGGGGAATGGTTTTTAAAGGATGTGCTAATTTTTTAAATATCCACTACTCATTATTCAGTCTTTAAAACCATTTCCCTAATAAATAATGTCCCCCACCAAAAAACTTTGTAACATGCCAGTTGCTAACTTCAACCTTCGATTGAAATAGAAACATCTCTGGGCTGGGGGCTCTGATCTCATCCTTGGTTGGAGGTGGGTGTCAAGAAATCAATTTTCAACACTACTGACTTAACTTCCACATGTCTCAGTTTTCCTAACCTGTAAAATGTGGATAATGCTGTTTTCTCATCCCTGTCTTCTAGGGAACAATGATGCTATGAAAAAGCTAGCACACGATGACAGAGGTAAAAGCATTTGTAAATTGAGAAAGTCTGAAAAGGAAAGGTATCAATGACACAACATTAAGAAATGTAAATAACGTCCTACACCAGGAGCAACTGTAGATTGAAAAGGTTGGCTAAGATTTCTCAAGATTTCATAAAACCGAGTATCTAGTAAACAGCACAAGGCTGCAAGGTTAACCCAAGCAGAAGGCACGGCTGCCTCTGTAACAGTCTTTTCTATATCTGCCCAACAGGAATAATTATGCTTTATGCCTGTAAGAATAGGACCCCAAAATGAGATAATAGATGTATTCATTCCCACTAGGTTGTATGCGTCAGCCCTACACTCTTTGGCACTAGTTCAGGGATGCATATATTATAACAGCCTCTGCCCTTTCCAGCTTCCAATAAATGAGAGGAAAATGCCTTTGAATAGAGGAGGTTTGGACCAAAAGGTAGACTCTGCGAGATAATTTTGTTTGTGAAATGATAATATAATAAAACAGCTCTAGAGGACACTTTCCCTGCTATAACCCAGGCCAAAGCCCAATCTCATTAGATTGATATATGCCCAGAGGCACATAAAGATGCGTGGCAGTCTGTATAAGGATATTGAATTTGTCCTGTATATGCAACCCGAACCCATAACTCAGGAGGAAAAAGAATGAAGTCAGAGGGAAGACTTTGTACACAGCTGGCAGCTGGCCAACTCCGCAGCTCTGCGAGCCCATGTTTTCCATTATCACGACATTTCCTTCCCAGGACTCAGGTGAGAGGCCGTCACTGGGCGCTGGCGTTGCGTGGCCACGGCCAGTTGGCTGTGTGACGCTCGCACGAAGGGGAAGAGGTGTCTGGGGCACGGTGTGTGACTGATCAGGCCCCCGGCCAGGCCTATAGGGGAGAGAGATACCGTGGCATTGGCGTGGCGCCTCCCACGGGCTTGAAGCGATGTTGCATTCACACTCCGAGAGGGAGGAGGGCGCGTCTCTGAAATCCTGGCGAGCTCTGGAACCCGATTCTTTCAAATTCAGTTTAATACCAGCTTATCTCCCAAACATTTATTTGCCATTCTGAACATGCGGGACTTTATAAAGTCCACAGGGGCAAGGATGCCTAGGCTGTAAGGACTTACAGCAAGTGCAGAGGTCTGGGAAGCCGGACCACAGCACCGGGGGCGGGGCAGAGAGCACAGTGTCCCAGACCACGTGCACCCTGCTCTTCTGCACGGTAAGCAGATGGAAGCGGAGCCGGGGGGGGGGGGGGAAGCCTGCGGCCTCCCTGGGCTGCCGAGATGCACAGGCCAAGCTTTCTATCTGAGGAGGGAAGGGACCTCCGCATCCCTGTCCAGCACCTTCTTAGAGACCTGGGAACTGTTTCCCCGGGGCCTTCCTCTGTGCTTCCACAGCACCCTGCACTCAATGTCGATCCTGATACATCTCGTGCCGTGCCATCACTGTTCCCGGAAATGTTATGGGTGGCTCGAGCACCTTCATCTCCAGCACCCAGTAGAGTGGCCGGCACCTCGCTGGGGCTCTTAAAATGTTCTGCAGAAAGATGTGATGTCTGGCTGCATGGCTTAATGGGTGCATGAATGGGTGGGTGGATGAATAGATATACAGATGCAGGATTTTCTGCTTCTAGTTACTATAGACTCCAGTCCTGGAAGCAGAACTGCTAAAAAAAAATTCTGTTTTCTGAATACTTTTGGACACATAAGAGTCCTTCTTATGAACCAGGAATCCATAAACTGGGATGTTCCTGGGAGAGTCCAGGGCTATTCTACACACCCAAAGAGGTTCTGATAGTTCAGAGAAGGCTCTGAACTTTGGATGCCAGTGTAAAGGAAATCCATCAAGGTTCAACTACAGTTTGGTGGCAGAGACCCAAAGCCAGCTTTAATTCTCCCCAAATTCCTGCATGTCTTGCTGCTGCTAGAAGGATTTTAGGAATGATTACCTTAAAGACTGTGGTACTTTTTCTTTCTTTCTTTCTAGTCACACTAGGAAATACTGACTTACCCTTGTAGGGACTTGGCAACATTCCAAGTGCACCCACTCTTGTGGGTCTACAAAGTGCAGAAGGCAGAGGGAGAGTGAGGATGAGAAGAAAAACAAAAAGGTAGCGGGGGGGGGGGGTTGGAATGGCAACAAAAACAACAAAAATGTTAAATGGGAGAGCTTCCTTTTGTCCCTCTGGCTGAGAAATCACTCAAGATCCTGGTCCTTTTTGGAGTGGTTCAGAGCTGAGAGCTGTGCACACCTCAGGCAAGGACTTCCAAAGCCACAGTGTAGCGCAGGCAGGGTTCCAGCTCCCGGCGTGATGAATGTGCATGCTAAAATTACCTTGATCTCCATTACCCAGCTGAGCGATGTCAAAAGAGTAAGGCATCAGGAATGAGTCCGCCCCCGTGGCTTAAAAGCTTGCCTGTCAATCTAAACTAAACAAACCCTGCTTTGCTGCAGATGAGAGGAAAAGCTTTACCCCTGGAGGTGCAGCCATTGGCTGGGTCAATTTCCTTCCCATCCACTTTAAATGCCCAGCGGCCTGGAACATTGACGTTCGTGGTCTCTTGGATATTCACAATCTCAGGGGTTCTTGACCCCGGGAGACTGAAGAAATTGGTGAGGTTTCCACCGTTAAATCCTGCCTGGAGCACAAAAGGAAGACAAGGCTTTTGAGTACATATACCAGCCCCATTGCTTAACTGGCCCTACTGCCTTATTTTCAGAATCCAGCACACTTGAAATCAAGAGACTCCTTTTCCTAGAGTCACTGGGGTAACCGTTCCAGGTGAGAAAGGCCTGCCTCATCCATCCCACGCCCGGAGCCGGGTATCAAAGATGGGCACAACCAGCCTCTTAGTCTACCTGCAAGATCAGATACGCTTCTCTAGTTAAGAGCTATTGGCAGGACTCCCTCCTGGATGCTGAATCACCTAAGCAGAGAGTGCAGCGATGGAAACATGCAGGAGGGTGAAGTGGAGAGCCACCTACCTGTGCCATCACTCCACCAAGACCCGTCAGGGGGTCGCCACCACTCGCTGTGCCGGTGGTCCAGTTGATTTCATAATAATTGAAGAGCGTGAATGTGTAGGAGCCATCAGACACCAGGACCGCCTGGAAGGTGTTCACCTACAGGATGGGAATGCATGGTCCCACGACTGCCACTCCCCAAGGGGGTCCTCGCGCCCCAAGGAGATCCTCCCCTCACCCCGTGCCCTTCCCGCCCCCAGGCAGCCGGGCCCTCAAGCTCTGCCTCCTCTCTGAATTTGTTCTCACCTCCGGTGGGAAAAGCAAGGCATGTGGGATTGTACATCTAAAAGAGAAATTGCCTGAGATAAACCTAGAGTCTGACTCAGCACCCACTTCCATCGCTGATTTGTAGCAGACAGAAAATTCAGAGACCTGGCTAAGCCTGTGATAATACGAGAGCACCTATAGATGGCAGCATGAGAATGAGCTACAGGAAAGAGTAGAGCCAGGGACAGGATGCCATCACCTGTTCCCGTGGCAGGGCGGGTGGGCAGGGGTGGGTTGTGGGGGGCGAGGGAGCAATGCTACCAGGGAGACTAAAGAGGTCACGTGGATTGCGCTCTCCCCTCCTGGAGAACAGCACTAAGCTTGCCGCGATGTCTCCTTTTTTTAAAATGGAAGTTGGAAAGTGATTTTTTAAAAGCACTTTGTGGGGAGAAATTGCTCCTTTCTAAGTAAGCATTTGTGTATCCCTTTATATCTCAAAATTGCCAACACTCAGATGTACCTCAGACCAACACTAAGATGGATGATTTTTTTTTTTTTTTGCCAATTCCCATCTTCTAACTAAGAAAACTGAGGCCTAAGGGAAATGAGTTACTGGAAATTTCTCAGTGCTGCAGCAACAGAAAATAGGATTCGAGCCAGAGCTCCCAGTCTATCTTTTAGAGCACTGTCATTAATTACATGGTGTCTTAATTTTCAACTTTTAAGGACAGAGATGTTGTATAAATTCAAATGAACCCTGCAACAGTTTTCAGAAATAAGCTGTAGCAAACTCTGTTCTTTACATTCTCTCTTTGCTAAAGCCTACTCCTTGTCACATGTTTTCAGGAAATTAAAAAAAAAATAGTGTTAAAAGGAGAGGCTGCATTGACCTTTTTCCTATTCAAACCTAGCGCTTGATACCTTCCTGATTAATACCAGGTCCGATGCAGAGGAAGACCCAAATCCTTATCCTGTGTAATCAGACTGGGGTAGAGGATCTTGGAAGTCCCAGATCTCCCCATTCTAGACAGTCCCAGGGAAAGGAAGCAAGGTGCAAGTAAAGAAGAGCCCTTTTTGTAAAGAACTTTCTTCCCAAGCTCTGTGCTGGCCACGGCTGATCGCGTTTATGATAGGGCTGCTCAGGTGTATGCCTTCACTCTCTGGCTCTGTTCAACAGAAGGGGAAAGTGGGACACAGAGATTTGTGAGCAATCAGCTCAAAATTGCTTAAAGGTCACTACTAGCAGGGTCAGGTTCAAGGGGCAGGTGCAAAGTCAAGGTCACACAAGGACTAAAGCTGGACCCTCCTTCAGACCAAGGTTCTCCTTCAGAAGTGAATTCCTTCTCTCAAAATGAAGCTGGAAATAGCTTTGGTCCAAGGAGGTCTTGTAAGCAACCCATTTCCAGGCCTGGAAGTCACCTCCAAACCAACTCGCCATCCTAACGCCACCCCAGGGCTGACTGCCATATGCATGCTCCCCTGCCTGCACTACAGGGCTCTTCAACATTCACTCTAAGACTCTTCAGGCTCTGTTTCTGTAACACCATGTTTTTCAATTCTTGCTAAACCTTTTTTTTTTTTTTTTTTGCTGCGGAGGACTTCTAGCAATACCTAGAGGCAGCAGCTAAGGAAAGAAGAGCTCAGGAGTCAGGAGTCAGGAGACTTTGAACTGCTGCTCTGCCTCCCAGGAGGTGTGAAGCCCTTTTCCTGGCACTTGGGAAAGTTACTTCACCTCTCTGGGCCTGCTCCCTCCCCTTGAAAGTGGAGATAGTACTTGTCAGAGAACATTTTTGTGAGGGTTCAATGCTATGCAAAAATAGCCTATCACAGCACCGGACACATATAAGCCATCAGTAAATATTAGTTTTCCTTTTTTGAAGCAAATATGTGCCCTTGCCTAGTCACTTCCCTTTCTGTTGGGCTTCCATGAGACTTTCTGCCTTTAAAAAAGATCTCTCACGCCCAGCGTTTAGCTGGCCCGATGAAATGTGTTCCTGGATAGAAGGGGAAACCTAGAAGATGGGATGGAAGAGGTGGGGCCGATTTCAAAAGCAGGGATGGATGGACAATTTTGCAGCTCTGGAAGACTATAGCATCCTTTTTCTCCAAGGAACTCAAAGCACTTAGATGTTACCTCATTCATCCTCATAGAAAGAGTTCTCACCTAGTTCAGAAATTTACTCCAAAGTACAAACCAGAAAGTATCTAAATTATCTTGCCACTTTTATTGCCAATGGAAGTTTTGTTGAAAAAAAGGTGGTCAGCATTTGATGGGCATTTCTTTTTTTTTTTTTTTCTACTCCCACTGACTAAAATTTATAGATTGCTGGCATCCTGCATTCTAACGCTGTAAGCTATGAGGCTTAAAGGACATAAAACATCACCCGAGGAGTTGTTAGCGATCTATAACATGACAGAGGGAAATGTATGCTTCTTTAGAGGTTATTTCTAGCCAATGCATCCACTGTTTAAACGTGTGTCTTTCTGTTCCACAGAACCTCTTAGCGACAAAGTGCTTCTTGATGCGCTGGCCAGAAGGTGCTAAAACACAACGTGCTCACAGTGTCCCAGCTCTGAACTGCAATCCCAGCACTTTCTCACCTCTCTCTAACTCTGTGGTTTCTGTTCCACCCCTAAACAATTGACTCATTGCCAAGGAAATTGGAAAACAGATGGAATTGGAAATAATCCTAAAAAAGGGGAGGGCAGATTTCTGAGTATCTTTGCTTACTAGAAATTATACAGTTGAAGACGCGTCTGCTACTTCAAAACTCCCCACTGCCAAAGTCACTCACATAAGCTGCAGGCTTTTGTGAGAACTGCATTCTGTCCCTTTATGTGGAAAGTTGATTATCTCTACGATAATGCCAGCGATAATCTTTCTTATTTGACTTTTATTTGACTGCTCATTTGGGATTTCAGAGCAGATGTTGAAACTTTATTCATGAAACGCTTTAACTGCCCACTCTAATTAACATCAAATATGAATACTTTCAACCCTGGTCACAATAAAAAATATAGTCATAATGTAACAAAATGAGCCAGATCATTTGTGCCCAAATCTGGAACCCTATTTTTCTCTTCCGACCAGGTTTTATTGGTGGGACAGAGGGGAGAAAATTAGGGGTGGAAAGAAATATTTGTGCCTCTGGCAAGAGAAAAAGACTTTTGGGGTCCCTGGATGGGTTCCTAATCAGGTGGCCTGAAACAGGTCTCAGTGCCTTAATCACTCTCCTGCGAAATAGGAATGCTACTTAGTGCAAGGAAATTGCTGAGGGGTTCTTTTTAGACATTCATAATGATTTGTGATAAGAGTGACACATCTTCTCAAATATTACAGCTGACTGGACTGGTTAGCTGTGGTATTTCCCTCTGTTTCCTGGAAAGTGGGTAGCAAGACTCATTAGTTTAACTCAAGGGAACTGACATTCCTCAGCTCTAACAATTACGCTCCTTCACGGTAGTGAAGATGGACAAGAATTAGATGTCAGGATATGAGGTGGAAAGTGGAAAATTTGAATTATTACAGGTGTAGTGCTGCTGCCTCCATAAAACGTGACTTCCTCCCATGTCACAATGAAAACCCAAGTGGCAGAGAAGGTTGCCATGTCTTTGAAGTACTTCCTGATGTCCTTGGTGGCTCTTTTCAAGATGACAGGGTCCATGGTCTCTCTGTAATAGATCTCGCCTCGAATTCCATTGTGCACATCTGCCCAAAATGGGGCAATGAAGGCCCTCCCGTCCGTCAGGGGGAAAGATTCGGGCGTGAACTGGCTCACTAGCACGTTGAAGGACACAACGCCATTGTTGTTGACCTACAGAAATAAGAGGAGTTTTTGCACAGTGGATCTGAAACCATGACAACTTCAGAGTTGCAAACCAAGACAGACATTTGCCTAATCATATGAATGAAAACAAGTTTGAAATTACTGACTTAGAATGACCCCCTGAACACCAGCCTGCAATGCTCAAACTAAGAGGCTCATTTACTTCCAAACTCATCGGTTTTCTTTCACTTTCAATTTGTAGTCAGCTTTGTTTCTTATTAACAATCAGTGTCATTTTCATGTTTTCTGTCCTATCTCTATTTACACTTATCAAATGCTCCTGGGTTGTGCATGCACATGAGAGTATGTGTGTGTACTTGATGAGAGGTGTATGTGTACTGGGTGTGGTGTGTGTGTGTGTGAGTGTGGGTGCTGGTGTGCACAGGGCAGGGTGTGCTGTGTGCTGGGCGTGTGCGTGCACACACGTGCACTGCGCCAGCCAGGGAGCAATGTGAGTAACAAAGACAGATAGATCCAGAGTCTCAGATGCAAAATATACAAGAAAAACAAACAAGATGAAAGCAAAGTTAAATTAAAAAATTAAAAAAAATATTGAAGCCCCATATTATGCCTTGATTCCTATTTCGTGACAAAGCAGAAGGGTCAGACAAAGATAAATGAAATACTCCTTCATCAAACTCCGATCTCAGGATGAGCCATCTCCTGCTCTGGATGAGATATATAAAGACCTCCATTGCTGTGTCACAACCACTTCTGTACTCAGAATAAGGACAAGGTTAAGACCTCCTGATGCCCACTTCCATTCCAGCGTGTGTAGTTTAATAGCTGCTTGTACACTTGCTGCACGAAAATTGAGACATTAATACCTTACATCATATATGCAAATAACTATCCTATGGTGATTTCTTCATAATGGCTTAGTAAACTTTAATTAAAGTACGGAACCTTCCTGCAAATCGTAATCCACTATGTACCGTCTGTCTACACAGGACCTGTAAACAGTTCAGCCCCTACCTGCGTCTGCAGCTCTGCACTGGATAGCAAACTGATCTAGCCCCGTGCCTTGCATGGCGTCAGCAGCACAAATGCCTGTGACAGGAATACTTGCAACTCTTGGATACAGAAAACCTAGAGATCACTTTCCTATCTATCCTAATTATTTGTTGTGCTCCTGTTAATCAGTAACATTATGGACATTAACAGTGACCCAGATCCCAGAGGTCAGTTATCAATTGCTGGGGCACAGGTCCGTCTGCGTGTTTGGAAGCAAGGGAGTGGGGTTTGGACAGGAAGCTGAGACTGAGCCACAAGGTCATTTACAGCCTATTGTCTTCAACAACTCAGGGGCTTGGAAAAGACTGCACTACTCAAAGTGCTGGAATCGCAGGGAACAATTTACCCTCAAACACATCTGCCTCCAACTGAGGACCGTCCTTTTGCAAGGGCAAGAAAGAATTCTTCCGATTCCATGTCACATACGGCAATGGAGGACAAAGAGGAACGTAACTAAACACATTCATGCTAGAGGCCTGGGAGGCTAAGGCTTCCAGAATGGAAGTCCTGCACTCCCTTCTCATCGCCAAAATCAGGTCAACACATCCCAAAATTTACAGCAAGCTGTTACCGACACAGACTGGGAAGGCCCTGCTGTGCATAGAGCATAAAAGGCATGTCGGGATGCGGAGTGAAGTGTTTGCTAGGGAACAATAGGTGTAATTAAACACAGAGACTAGCAGAGGCAGCTGGCGATGGCTCACATGGGTTTCGATTATATTCCATGGGTAAGGTCAGTGGTCCTCAGACTTTTGTGGGCACCAGAACCACGTGGAGGGCTCATTAAAACACAGATTACTGGGCTGTCCCCCAGAGCTTCTGTTCAGTAGGGCTGGAGTGGGGCTGAGAGGTGACATTGCTAACGAGCGCCCAAGTGCTGCAGGTGCTGCAGGTTCAGTCAGGGACCACTGGTTAGGTCAGGGAACAGGGAACTATTTCCAGGGGGAATCAGCCATGAGCTATAAATCAAAAGTTGGGGACAACAGAGGTCCAAGATGTGCAAATGGCCATGGGTAGAATGCTTAAAGATTCATTCTTCCTCCAGGGCAGGACACAGACTAGAACAGGCTATGATATGATCTATATATGCCTGACCCAGTTCTTTATGGCCAAAGATAAAGACAGGTTCAGCGCCCTGAATCTTCCTCTCCATGTGCAAGTCTCACTAGCAGCAAACCCGGATGATCCTAAAACATGACCCAAGAACACAGGTGCCCAGGAGAGCTCTGACTGCAAATGGCACCATTTCTTAGTGCAGGTGTGACAGTGGGCCCCTGCGGCATATCCGCACACCCGGTGAGGGTGGCCAATTCTGCAAACAACTTTCATATAATAGTTGATTACCCCTCTACGATGTCCCGACTCGCTCCAAATTGGTAGGAAGCCCAAGAACAGCAGATGCCTAAACTTTTCACACCCCCAGAAGGGAAAGAAAAATGATATTGCTAGTATTGTGGTTCATTGTATCCTTTTATCTTGTTGAGTAGCAGAAATAATGTTCATGGCGTTGGGACCTCTGCTTCCCTTCTATGTTTAATCACCCACAAAAGCAATTTATTGCCCTGTATACTCCTCTACTATGAACATTAGCCATTAAATATACCTTCCACTTTCTTAATCATAAAACCCATCAGCTCATGAAATCTCAGAACTTGTCGTTTTGGCTGCCAATAAATCCTCCATTCCTGGAGCCCTGGAAGAAGGTACTTAAAATGCTTTTCTTAATGGCAAACGAAAGGGAGAGCCACAGAGCAACAGCTGGGCTGCTTCTCCACTTACGTAGACAGTGCGGTAAGGAACGCCGAAGAAGAAAATTGGGATGGCCAACTTAATCTCGGATGAGCTTCCGTCGTCTACTTTAGGGGTTTTGGTGTCATTCTGCCAAAATGGATACATGAGCTCCCTGGGCTGAGCTGTCGAGAGAGATGGTGGTTAGATAGATGGCAGCTCCCTCTTCCACTTGGCAAGCCACTTCCCTCCGACCTGCTAAAGCCGGCTTCCTTCAGTAAGGCCTGCGAGCCGAACACAGGCAGGCTGCCTTCTCACTCGGCCTAGACCTAGGCCACGCATGGTGCATTAGCTTCTGCCTTGGGGACAGGGAGAATGGGAGAGATATCATTTTTCCTTGGGAGAAGGCACTTTGTACTTCGTTCCTAGACTTCCATAGCTCTTGGTGAGAGCCATAGTTGCCACTGGCTGGAAGGTTGGAAGTCACCCCTGCCTGGAGCTCTCTGGGTACAGAGAGGCAGCCTCTAGATCCGGAATGGCCATGGCTATGAAGCTCCCTTCTAGCTCAAAAATCCCGCGGTCGTGTCTTTTCCTGAAAGGGGTTCCCGCCCTCCTGATGCATGATAGTAGAAGATATCAGATCCCAGAAGGAAATGAACAACAGTTGGAACCAGGACGAAAGGAGGAGGAGAGGGTTTGTAGTAACTGGCTCATGAATGACCTTGATTGAGGGCCGCTCCCAAGAGGCTCCATGCCCAGCTGCTGTTTGTAAAAGACAGACATGGGATCCTCCCGGGCATGGAGGTTGGCCAGTGAGAACCTGGGAGAGGAGGTGCAGGGCGCTGACGTGTCCTGGCCACAGGTGAGAGTCATCACACGGACACACACAGCAGGGTCGCCACCTCTGCTGGCAACCTGACGCTCTGCTCCGAAGATTCCCATCCAGACTCTTGTGAGGTGTGGCCCAGGTTGGTGAGAGAAGTGAGACAGGTTCCCCAGAGTCTGCATTACTTGGGGATCGGGTCTAATGGCATCTGTGAAATAATCTACCTTTTGGGTGTCACTTGTCTATGCCTCTGTCCTTTCTTCTCTTGAATGAAAGAAAATAAAACTAGAGAACATCCTCTTTCTCTTTTTTCCCGTTTTCTTTCTTTTTAAAAAAAACTGTTTGTTAGTTCTCAGGGGCAGTGGCAAATCCATTTGGGGTGTCTGGCCACAGTTCTTGAGGTACCTGCTCTCGCTGCCAGCCCGATGCTGACGCCCCATTCTCCTGCCGGGCCCTCGCCTTGGGCAGGCCCCCGCTCGGCACAGATGGGCTGATATCCTGGCAAGCAACTCCCTACGGGTTATCTGGCTCCTCTGGGAGCCGTGCAGTGAGCAGACAGCAGCTCACACAAAAGAGCTCGGAGGCCAGAAAGCAGCCCAGCAGGGCCAGGAAAAGTGCCAGCTCTCTGGTTCTTGAGCAGGGAGCAAGAGGAAATCCACCTGGAGGGACAGCTCATTTCTTTCCAAGTGCTAAATCAGAGGGGAGTGGGGAAAACTAGTCTGGTTCTTGGTGTATATGCATCATTCCCCGAGCCCCAAAAGTTTCTGAGACGCCCACCAGATTCGAGCCTTTAGGGGGTGCTGTGGCTAGTTTAATCTCAGGAGCACTCAGCCGATGAGCTGTATTTAATGGCACGATCAGTAGGGGAAAAGGGGTCTTCTAACATTCCTATTTACATAACAGTCAAAAATTCCAAATTCCTAGAAAGTAGGAATTTTTAAAAATATATCTTTATAATCTCTACCACAGCATTATACACAGGTACCTATTAAATTTGAAGGGTGATAAACTTTCCTAAGTTAATAGTAACAAATCAAGTCATGTCATGGATTTATCCTTCATGGGGAACTTCTTAGGACTCTTGTCCAAGTATGAGTAAGGGCTCAAATTCACACTGAATTATAATCATTTTCATGGAAAGATTAGCTGGTATATGGGGCAGCACTGGGCAATCTGCCTAGAGAATGGAGGAATGGAAAAGCCAGAGGAGACAGAAAACAATGGCCCTGAAGACTGACCCCTAACTTCTCTCTCTGTGCCAATGGCGAGGCAAGTTTGCAAGATTCTTCTCTTCATGAGTGATCCTAATTAGTTTGTGATTTTGAATAGGAAAGAATGAGCAGTTAAAAATTTTCAATTTTAAGAAGAATACACACAATAAAAACATCTAATGTTGTAAATAATAAATACTCATCAAACGAAAATGCGGGTGCTTTCTAAAAAGGAGTAGATTTAAACTACAATAGGTTCCATCTCAGAAGCCATTATTATTATTAAAAAATATATAGCAGTTGGCAGCATGGCCTATCCCCATAGAATCAGAGTTAGTGAAACGAAGAATGTCACTACCCATGCTTGTCCTAGGCTGAGAATTTCACAATTAACATGACTGTGTTTCCAGATTTTCTTTCTTTCACCAAATAAAATGTACTTTCCTGGAGTACAGGTGGGAGATTGAAGTCACTGGGATCCTTTCATCATTATGGGGTTTCACACCCTGGTTTACTTGCTCCAACTTTTTAAATGTAAAAATATTGGCGCTGTCGAAGGGTATATAGATATGATCATTTTAGGCTTGTAGCCATTTGCCAGCTGAACCAAACAAACCAGCAAAATGAAGACAGGTGCTTTAGAATTTTAGCCATAAAAATTTAAAATCTACATATTCTGTCCCATTTTTCTTGTCTAAAATCCGAAAAAAAAAAACAAAAAAACAGTAGAAAGAAATGCACGTGGCCTTTCACATACGCAGGGAAACACAACACAGAGAAAAAGGAGTCACAAAGAGGAGGGTAATTATCTTATTTCACTTGTGGTTTTAGGTTTTTGATCATTAAAAGGTTGCTGATACACAAGTCACCAATATCAATGCCATTATAACTTCCTAATTTTTGGCTAAAATAAGTATATTCTTTAAAGTGTCCACCATAAGTTAAATGATTTAACGGGAATCAATGATCAAGCATGGGGGTACACACACACACACCTATCCCATCTACTTTTAATGAAAATATTTTGCATTATTTTAAAGATCTACTCCATTAATACAGAGCAACCTGGTATATAAAAATTGTGTTCAAAGTTAAATAAGAAAAAGTGGGAATGTAAGCAAACACCATTCAAAGTTAATGAGTTTTGCCCTTGACAACAGAATTTAATTTACATTTTTCTGGTTGTATCTGTAGATACATGTACACCTGCCCTTACAATTATGGTTCCAATAAAAGCTTCTCTTTATAAATTCAAGAGCATGCTAATCAAGAGCTTTATGGAATTCTGTAGTACTCACCTTGGTGCCGTACAAGTGCGAAGATGAAAGAGACCCAAATTCTAAGTAATGATGAATAATTCATCCTGGAATTTTAAAAAGAAAAAGAAAAAAAAAATCCCCAGCTTGCCACAGTAAATAGAACACCAGGTGTGTTTGGTGGCAAATCCCGGGACACATCACAACCATCATAGAACAAATTCACATAACAGCATCAATAGTTCTGAGTTGAGAAGCGATTCACTGAATGCTGGCAGGTCCTCCTAAGTTCCACACTCCATGAACAAATTAGACCCCCAGAAGAAGCCAGTCTGACAGTGTGATGAGATCATTGGAATTGTCAGGCAATTCTACAGAACCAACGAGACCAGCAATGAGTAAAGGCATCTAAGCGATCACTGAAAATTAGAGGACCCAACTCTAACGTTGAGGGTGCTGGGTCGTGCCTGTAGAACAGAAATCACATCCTCGGTGAGACCTGGCTTTCTTAATTTTCTCCAGAGCTTTCCATTAGGATCAAAGAAAGTCAGCCAAAACACAGTGTGGTTCTACAGGTAGGAGGATTTAGAGTTTGCCATCACCTTCCCCATAGAAGGGAGCCAATCCATCATTTTGAAGTACTGGCCAGATTTATGGGTAGTCTAGGACTCTGTCCCCTGACTTTGCATGTGAAATGAATGATAGTTACATTGGTAATACAAAAGGACCACTCCAGGATTGCTCCTTGGAATTACAATAAAAATAGAATCCAGTGCACAAGCAAGTCATTAGTTCCAGCAAGTTAGTTAAAGGAAGAAACATTGCGAAAATGAACTTGTTTTCATGTTAGGTTGCTTTACCCTTCATTAGGAGCGTGTTTGGTCTGTGCCGCTCTGCAAAGCTGCAATGCGAAGACAGATGCAAGCTCAAATTAGACACTAGAATCAAACTGCATGGCTAGACCATGAAGTTTGCTGCCGACAGTATTCTTACAAATAAAAACCCTCCTCTTATCACTTGAAGTTATCACAATTCTTCAGCCAGGCTTTCATGGAAAAAGCCATGAATTTATCCTGTGAGAGTTTCATTGTAAATCTTTAGCTGTCAAATACACACATTGACATTTCAAGCACATATTAAATATTAGTCAGTATTGCTGAAAATGGCACAAAGACTTTACTAGAGATCAGGATGCAGCTTTAGCAGAGGCAGGTGCCGTACAAGTTTAAGACTTGAGCCCTTAAGGGAAACTGTCCAGAGAGCAGTAAGGAAGATTCGTTTAGATATTTGTATTTATGAAAAATGCCACTAACCTGTTCTGCAGAGACTGGAGGGACTGAGTCAGAAATATTAAGTCAAATCTTGGTAAAACAAGAATTCATGTCAATTCTCCTCAACTTGCTGCCAATTATTTCTGATTCCTGAAATGACGTCTGAATCCCGTACTCTTAAAACCAAAAATTAAGTTAGTCCTGTGCTAGAGTCAGGCAAGTGTTGAGTTGCAATCAAGTTTTTTTCTATTGATTAAGGAAAAGTAAATCTAAAGATCAGTTTCAGGATTGCGTAGAGAGAGGTTCTTTTCCTGAAAAACTAGACCTTTTTTTTTCCCCCTTAAAAAAAAAAAAAAGTAGATTCAGATGGAAATGTCAGGTACTTGGAGCTGAAACTTTGGTCCTTTCTGATCAGAATCACTTTGCACTGAAAAACACAAAAGAAACCTCCCCCCTCTTCTACCTTTGTACCCAAAAGAAGGCAACTGTATAACGTTACAGAATTAGCATCCACCGGCATGGGATTCAAACTCCAAACAAAGCTTTGCTGCCTCCAACATTTAAATGAAGTTGGTTTTCTACTAAAGTCTTTTTTTGTTTCTCTGGTTTTGAACAGTCGCCACAGATAGGCTCTACTCTGTTTTTTCACAGGTATGCACGAAGTATTTAAAGAAACTTTTCCAAACTTTTCTAGGCTTCATTCCTTCTCTTTTGTCTCTGATGGACCGCTGTGCAGGGGAGAGGCCGGGGCACTTTTCAGGCAAAACCGAACCAAGCACCCAGTGAGTGCGGGCTTTGAGCTTTCACAAGGGAA